GATTACAATCTTTCAGCTCAAAACTTTACTCTTGTATTGTTGTTTCCTTGTTCTTTCCACTATTTCACCTGATTTCCCTCAAACTTCGAATGTCATAAGAGGAGATATTGTTCCGTCTCACAAACGAGAAGTGAAATGAACGAGCATAATTAGTCCCTGAGAGAGCGACACGTCACACTTACTCCTCTAATTGTTTCATAATATTAATTATACGTCTCCTGCTGCTGGCTTTTCAACTCGAGGCGTTGTTGTGGGTTTTCTTTCTTCCATTTCATCCATAATTCATCAAACACACAGACCTGAACTGATTTCTTGACATAAAATATTGTTATTGACCGATTCCTGCGTGCGGCTTCACCTTGGCAGCGGGTTTTCTGGGCTCTGCTGGGGGATTTGTTTTCAGTCTAGTTCATGATTGTTGGCCAGACTCTATTGTTCATCTATCTAAATGATTAACTACACAGGAGAGAACTCAGAAGTGTAGCGTCACGAAACACCGTCTGATGTAGCTTCTTAGCATAGAATGCTCTGCCATACGGTAGGCAAACCGAACACAATCATCATAACGACATTCAAAGGGAAATAACCATATACTGGGTTAGAGGCCGGACCAGAAGGGGGCATTACCTCAGGACTCTTGCGGTTCTGCATGATTTGTTTATCCGAGTCCTTGCTGGCAAAGTATCTGGTACATCCTCGGTTCAGGTACTGCAGGAGAGAAAAATCGACATTTCAACACAGTTAATATTTTGATAAACTTAATTCCCTCGTGGCGCCAAACCTACTGGGGGCGAGCGTATTGATTTTCATAATCGAAAAGATTCACTCTGTTGTCTTCCAGTACGGCTACACAGCTGACTGGTGGTGAATCGCATGCAGTAATTGCCTCTGTTGATGTGGGCGTCACCTCAGGGACTTGATATGATGATAAACATCTAAAAAGAACAGCTTGAGCTGCTTGTTGTTCTGTTAAGTGTTGTTTTGTAGAGCATGTAGAGGAAAAAAAAAAGAGGCTGAGGTTAATACCTTTCTGCTCTCTGACTCTGCCCCCGCTGAGCTGGTAATTGCATCCGAAAGCGGCTGAATTCAATTGTGAAATACTTTTACTGGGGATTTTGATTTCACTTGGGAAGAGTTTTAGATTTGTGTAAAGATGCTGGAAATGAGCACATGTGACACCTAGTGGGCGTCCACAGAACTGCCAACCAAAAATGTTTTCTGCTCTCGATATCACAACTCTTCAGTTTCAGTTCTGATGGGAATGAGGAAACTAAAATGACCTTAATTTCATCTTGTCACAGTAAAATAAATGTCCCTGCAGGCCCTGGAGTCTGAACACTGACCCTAAAGCTGTCCGGAGAGTCCAGGTGTAGTTTCTTCTTCAGGTCCTCGGACGCCCCGGCACACAGCCTGTAGAAGATGTGGTAGTTCCTCTCGTCGTTGCTTTGCATGCAAATCCTCGACTTCTCCAACAGGTAGTGGGACACGAATCCGCCTACGACTGCATTCTGGTGGCAGTAGAGAAAAATCAGTCATTAAATGCAGAATGGTTCCTGAAACACGATTAGTAAAACTAAGCATAAGCAGTCTTCATCCTTTACCTTGACATTAAAATGGATTTCTACAAACTTCCCAAAGCGACTGCTGTTGTTGTTCCGGACTGTTTTTGCATTTCCAAAGGCCTCCAGAAGGGGATTCGCTGAGGGATGAAAACAGGAAACTCAGGATCACTCAGTCTCCAAACACTTCAGACTGATGACTTTTCATTGTGTTCCTGTAGTACCTTCTACAATCCTCTCATCGATATCTTGACCGCTTCCGTACGTTGTGGTCAGATATCTGCAGGACGGGATGAGATGACAGCTTAGAACACATTTCACGGCTGACATAGCTCAACACGTACCGCAGCAGCTTTCCCTTGCAAAGCAGCTGTGGTTACTCGGTACACAGCATCGATAACACACACTCCACATTCACTTCACCTCATGTTTGACCTGTGTCTCTCTGAAAACAGTGTTATGACGAGTAGGAGATGGGAGAAAAATTATTAAGTTTGGATTTGTGACTTGTAAGCACAGGTTGACAGCAGAAGTCCTGTAAACAGATTAGACCATCTCTGCTTGTTTAACGGCAGATTGCATCAGGAGTAATGTTGTAGTGTCACCACAGTGCATGTAATGGTGTACGGACTTCATAACATATGATCCCAGCACTGTCGGTTCATAGCCACGGCGCTCCAGGTTCAGGTCTCTGGTCGGCCGAAGCCCTTCGCTGTGGAATTTGCATGTTTTCCTTGTACCTGTGTGCGGGTTTTCTCCAGGTGCTCCGGCTTCCTCCCACAGGCAAA